CTATTAATTGGTTATAAAAGAGTTCCAATGATTCTATAATAACATAGAGAATCTTTTTAAGAAGAATGATCCTGCATTTGATAAGAACATACAAAAATTTGGTAATGTTTATAAGAAACACCATTTAGTAAAAGATACTCATGTCTATTTAGCAATTTTCTCTTTCTTTCAAACATGTGACTAGAATTCAGAACATGTAAATGGTAGTAGCTATAAACGTAAAGGCAAAAGAATTAGGGTTCAAGTCACCTCAAGTGCTAGACATAAAAGTAAGAAACAAAAAAAAATGCAACAAGCACAAAACACTAACATGTATGAGAATAAAGACCTAACTCGCTTTATAATGCCCATACGATCTAAAAGATTGCAGAAAAAATGTCCGCATAGTTTGAATAAAGCCTTGGTTGAAAACCGCCCAAATGGTGTTTAAAGTTTATGATCAATAGTATATGATACAAATACAAAGATAGTTATACATAGCACAAACACAAATGTATTGCATTTTCTATAAATACTTGTAATGGTAATAAAAATACGTTTGTCAAATGCCAGTAATTAGATGTACGTACATGCGTATCAGTAATTAGATGTTACACAATTATATCCGTTAATTAAAACCGGTATAAAACCAGTACATATAAGTGATCGTCGCCACGTGACTTTAAACCGAGCACAGATTTTATATATGCTAAATAAAATCGTAATTATAAAATGATTATTCAGACTGTCTTATCGGCCATGGTCAATGTTAGAGAAATATTATCTGGCTATAATAAAAAATATCTTTCGGATACAGTCTCTAGTTAACGTACATGTACATTAGAAATTCGGTTGACTAGGGAATAAATAATAAAATATATTCATGTAAATTTGAATTCGTTAATTACAATATCAGTGATATTAAATATGTTATTGCTACATATGCACTAGAAGGTATGTATATAAACGCATATTTAAAATTTTCTGTATTCCTGCAATAAGGAATCAGGTTAAAAAATTAGCCCATAATGAGTTCTATATAAAGATCAAATGATCTAAAGACCGAGTCCTTACCGATCTTTCAAGGACTCGGTCCCAAACATCCCTACATGCTCAATAAAAATACTGAATCCATTCGCATATTATGATTAAAAATTTTTCTACCGGGTATTCAAAACTCTTAAATAAATTTTTTTATTAATCTAAAAAAAATTATAATCAGGGTCACCAGCCATTAAAGGTTAGGTAGTGATATAAAGACCGATAATACAAGTTTATGTGGCCTAACTTTATGAAAATTGGTGTTTATTAACCATACCTGATGAAAAAATTGGTGTCTATTAATCATACTTGATGAAAAAATTGGTGTCTATTAATCATACCCGACGAAACTATTCCTGCAACGACGAAAATAGATTCATTTGATGAAAATTGTCGGGATATCAATTTGACGTAGATCAGCCATACTATATAGTTATTCATCAAAGATCTATCACGGCCAAATACAGTTATTGGTCACTCACGCACCTAGTAACGGTATGAGATCGTTAAATTAAAATTATTGATTGATGCGGATCATAGTATATATATAAGAACGGTTACGAACAGGGCAGATGAATAAAAAAATTAAGTCACATAACTAATTTATTTCTATGATTAAAGTAACGAATGATAATCTTTTGCCTTATCAATCGTCATAGGTTTCTCGTCAATTCTTTATAATTAAATTAATGATAATGGCATTTGGATTATGACATTCAACTCACTGAATTTTATTTATTTGTACTTCGATAAGATATGAGTGCATGAGAGTGAAAATCCGTACCAATCATAATAAATAATTGAATGTATTTACTCTCACGCTCTCATACATTATCGTGTGTTAACTTTTTTAATGATTCTTTAAAAGAAGCATCGCATGTTTTAATTTTTCTTACATTTATTGTATTGTATGTATATTAGATAAAATATAAAATATTTTACAATTAGTCAGAAGCCCAAACATTCGTTAATTCGTCGACTTGACGAATAGATCGTCACGAGTCAATGACGAATACTTCGGTATTATTAGTTTCTATAGCACTTTGTGTCTATAGCACCAGGTTTTTCGACCTAAACGACAAGCACGAACGATTTTTTCAGCTAATCAGTTCATTTAATAAACACAATGAGAGAGACGGGTATTATTAGTTCGACACATGAGAATTTGATTGCATTACGAACAATTTCGAGTGTGGCTTTAGTCCCTGGAAAATCTAGTCATAGAAGTCGCAGATCGGGGGGATGCCGAAATGCCGAAATGCCGAAATTACGATCTTGATATTTCCATTATAAATGCATCAAAATCGTAGTTTCGGTTAGAGGTCTGCAAATTACCTATTTTTTTTGGTCCGGTCTGGCCCGCATTTACAAAATATAATACGACAGGACGAAACTTAAGTTGAAATCTGCTATAGGGTGAATTCTACAAAGCTGATTTTACTATTTCTCAGCTCATGTTCTAATTAATATAAGGAATGGATTAGGAAAACCCCTATCGCTATCTGAAAGTAAGTGTAGTCATTCCCATATAATTGATAGGCCCGGCTCACAAAATTTGCGGTCCGGACCGGGCCAGGCAAGATCATGAGATCCAATGCATGTTTCCAGTTTTCGATTATCAAAGCGCATATATTGTAAATGAGTCACCCGCTTCGCATCGTATCGGGTGATTACCGAGGAGGATCCTGTGATTGTGACAAATCGATTAACGTTGATGACAACTTTTTTCTTTCACGACATATATAAATACTATAAGTACATGTGATAATAAATTAGTAAATTACTGTTGGATATAGAAGCTGTTTGTCTAAGCAAAAATGACTTTGGTCTTGATAAACGCATCTTTTAACCTCAAAGATCACCTATTCCTCTCTTAGGTATGTAGGTACATATGTACGTATTATTATTATGTAAACACTTTAACTCAAAATGTAATTCTGACTATCTTATGTGAAATCTTAGCGTTAGAGATATTATGACCATAATAAGGTTGATATTCAGTACATATAATAGATACGAATGAATGCCTCACTTGCGTAAAAATTTGTTTATTAAGTTCAAAAAATCTTAAGATTAGATAATGGATAGAAAAAAAGAATTCGAACAAAGAATATATTTAAACAAAAAAATAATAATAAGAATAGTATATTATTGTCAAAGAAAAAAAACCTTATCTAGAACAGGTTTAGATAAAAAAAAAAAGATTAATATATAAAAATTAAGTATATAAGTGAAAATCAAAATATTTGCGATTTTTGACAAAGACACAACATTCTAAAAAGATAAACTTGCATGTTTCATTATTCTTGACAAAGGTCATCGATTGTAATTCAAGAACAAACAAATTTTTTAATATTCTATTTTGTCCTTTTTTTTTAGAAGTATATATATAAATATACGTACCTTTAACTACTTTTAAGATTGTATTATATAAATTTCAGGTTTTTTTATTTAAAATAGGAAGACAAGTTACGATTGTTCTGCTCTGTTTAATAACAATTGCCATTAATCTTATCATTATTTTAATAAAAATTTTTTTATTAAGTAAATCAAATTACACAGCCAATTAATCCAAAATACTCGTTTAGTGTAAAGACTTAAAAAACCGAGCTTGTATTTACTTTATGTAATTTATTTATATCTAGCTAGTATAGTTAGTATATTTTGGAAAAAAAAATTAGGTTATGTAATAATATCGGCCGATTTTGGAATTAAAAAAGATTCCCTTGATCACCATATGAGTCAAATTCGTATCTATGTTGTGTAATCCATGCATCAAATTTGTCATAATAGCGCTAATCAATATAATTTCTGACATTTTTTAATCACCTGTGCATTGTTTCAATATTTTCCATATATGCTATGATGATTTACATTTACATTCATTTCATGACTAAAAATTGATAGCTGTCGTCATATTATATATATACTCTATGATACCTATGATACCTTCAATACTCTATAAAGTGACTTTTTTTATTTGTACCTCGACATTTACCTTGAATGTAAGCGGGGAAATCTTCGACTACAATTCAAAAGTGGTAATAACATACAGCCCATAAATAAAGAATAGTGTTACACACGCCATTTGAATATATTCTTCATATTTATACATTTTCCTTGTCAAATGTAAAAGATAAATAAATTTGTTGATCGAAATATAGATAAATACATGTAATATTAAAAAGTTCAGTACGCCTTTTTCTTTTTTTCCTTTTTCTTATCTCATTTTTCTTGTATATATATATGTTTTGAAACTAAAAGCTCTCAACGGATCACTTTTACTTTTTCATATTAATAAATGTGCTATCATTTTTATCAAAGGTTATTATTATTTCATTTATTGTATTATTTTGGTCGAAATAACGCGTCATTCGGTTACTTTGTGTTCTTAACTCTGCTTTTTTCGCTGTGAGCTTTTGCATGCTGTCGTGTATGCATGCGGTTTTTTTTGATTATGAATTGAAAATAGCTCGTGATAAATTTTTACCAAGATTGCAATTTGGCTACACGACAATTATGCGTCGAATTATAATAACATTATTAACCTATCATTCGTCATATTATCTATTAGTAGGTAATTTCTCACTTTGAACTTTTCAACCCTCATTCTTTCACAATTGAAAAAAATCCCCACACGTCTAAATCTGTCTCTCAAGGTCTCTTAAAGTGGTTAACACCGAAAGATATTTCCAAATTATCATTTCTATTTAACCGGGAATTATTTTTTAAATATCTAGTACATATTCATACATATTGTTCGATACTACCAATAAGTTCATTGTCATTGGTTGACCTATGACAACTTCCTTGTTGGTTTCTAAGGTTTAACGATTCATTTTTTCATTGTTCGAATTTTCTTTACCTTTTCCTCTTTACCCTCGATTTAACCTTTCCTTGCCATATTACTCGTCATTTTTAGTTATAATCTATATAGAATTTGGCAGAATTTATTCTTACAGGACCGGACTTGATGCATAATGACTCGCGCGAGTGATTTAACATATTTATGTAAGTCTTTTTCGAAATTATTCTTTTTAGGAAACAATTCATTACCTTATTACATAAAATTATCATTATATACTTACATTCTATATTCTTACATTTTTTGGCGATAAAAATAGTTCGTGCTGTATTTACTACATGGACTTTCCTTTGGTTTCTTCAACATGTTTGGAATATTGATCGATTTGAAGCATTACGATGGCGGCGAGTTAAAAGATTCGAATTGGTTGGTCTTTTATTATTTATTTTTATTCTTTTTTTTTTTTACTTTGATAATGAATTATAACTAAATTATGAAATTTAATTCTTTGAAACAATTTTAATAGAAATCTGCAATCACAATATTACTATGCATCATGTGTCCGTTACTGGCAACTTACGATATTGCTACTTCAAAAATAAAGTATACTGAAGGTTTCATGGTAATTCCGTTTAACGGTGAAATTATTACAAAGCCAGTGCAATTTTGGAGTGATGATAACCGACGGTTGGTTATGCCTATCAATTATATTCTCTGTGCCAGTTTTAGTGCTCAAACGTGAATATTATAATTATTACTATTATATATTATGTTTACTTCTATCATGTCAAGTTATCAAATTAATGCTAATCTATATTAATATCATTTTTTTGGATTAAAGGTGCTTGTTATTCTTGCTTCAGTCATTTTGGAATTATCTTGCAAATAATATAGCAAAAACAACTTTTATGGGTAGTTTTGGTACGTTCTATATAAAACTTTTCTCAATAAGGATATTCTCTATCTCATATTTATCCTAATTAAATAATAGAATTCAAATCATATATAATATACTCCGTATTCAGTATGGCCTTATTTCCATTACTGCAATGGTTGTTTCGTTACGATGATGTGTACACTGAAGTAGTCCCTCAATTGGCTTATGGTGTAATGATGTTCATAATCGGTTTATTGGGTGTAAGATCTCATTGGAGATTTACAAGATTATTAAGAATTACTAGGAGTGCTAATGCTTCTCAATTAGGAATTGTATTAAAATTAGAATACTTTAAGGTATGCATAAATGTATTGATTTATACTTGTTTTCATTTTTGATTTTAATACTGTGTAATATTTACTAATAATAATAATAATATTATTATTATTATTAATATTAATATTAATCTTATCTTAATATTAATATTAATCTATCTTATTAATATTAATAGGAAATGAACCGATATTTGACTTGGGGTCTTTTTATCGGTTCTACATCCCTGATAATCTTATGCATAGATGCTTTCACTCCGCAAAAATATCTCAACTCTCATAAATTTACCATGGATATTTTAATTTGTCATCTAAATTTTACACTTTGGATAGTATTTGTTACCTTGATTTTGATTTTTTATCCTTCATCAAATACTCTAAATGATACGTTAATGATGGCCAAAAGTGTCGCTTCTTCTTACAATGCTCCATCGAAAGGTAACTTATTGGAACCTCCAAGTCGTAGATGGTCAAGGTTCAATCAAAATAATGAAAATAGCTCTTGGTCTTCACAAGGTTCTTCAAGAAATGATCGTGCAAGTTGGTACTTGGATGTTAATGATGATCCTTCCGTTGCTGCTCGAAATAACTTGAATAAATCACGTCCGACTTCTGTATCGTTTGATATACCTCCATTACCCACTTCTGTAACTCTTAATAATCTTCCTCCAAACTCTCCTCCATCAATTTATAAGCCATCTGCTACACGTGAAACGAGAAATTCTTCTTCATTTTATTTTACTTCAAATGCTTTATTACCAAGTCCAATCCATCCATCATCTACCCCATTACCTGCACAACAACAACCTACAAATCTACCATCATCTGCCATCACTTCTGATCATACAAATAATTCAAATAACTCTCGTTCACTTAATTCTTCAAAACCTTCGACTACCGAAACTTTAAAATATCCATCATCTCCTTTATCAAAAATTAATAGAAATAGTTTGGCTTCATTAGCATCTTTGGAGGATCAAATGTTTACTGGAAATAGTTCAACTCCACCTCATGATCATCATCATGATATTTCTCCATTAATTCCATCTCAATTAACTCGTAAAGGATCAAATAATTCATTAAATTCCGAAAAGGATTTCGTATATATTTCCCGAAAGAATGCAAGGATGTCAACAATATCTAATAGAGATAGACCAATAATTAAAGTGACTACTTCAACATCATCTTTCAAAATTTCTTCAAATCTTACCGATGATGAATATAGTGATATTGATGAATATTTACCAACTAATAGTAAAGTTACTAAATCTGGAAAATTTGTTGTGAGCAATAATAATAATAATAATAATAATAATAATAATAATGAAATAGAAAAGAAAAAGAAAAAAGTAACATTGATGGATGGTAATCAAAAAGCTTCAGTAAGATTTCAACAAAGGCAAGAAGAGTTACTAAAACAGAAACAAAAATCATTAGCGTTAATGATTGGTGATAATGGAAATGATGACATTCGAATGTCACAGCAATATCCATACATAGTAACTCAAGTTAATGAACTTGAAAATAAAGACAATAACGATAGTTCACAAAAACTTTCAAGGGTACCATCTTCACCTACTTTGGAAAGATTTGCACTAGATTGTACTAATGTTACTCCGTTAAATAAAGTAACACCAAGGTCATCATCATTAAGATTTAAAGCATACAATAATTTGAAAACTGATGTTGTAGAAATGGAGAGATTAGATTCACCAACTTCTTCTTCTTCAAACTCTTCACCTAAATCATCGTCAACTGCATCACCTATAACACCAATATCAACAACTCCCATATCACCAACATCAACGTTAGCAGCATCCATATCACCAACATCACCATTATCAACAAATTCATTATCACAATCATCCACTGTACCGAATTTCAAAAGTGCACCTTTTTCAATTATGCCAAAAGGTAAACCTGGTATATTGATGAATTATAAAGATATAAATTATGACCAAAATAACAAGTTTTAAAAAAAAACGGTGGTTTAGTATAGTAAATAATGCACTGATGATAATGTACGTATCATCGAAAAAATAAGGTTAATCAACCAGCTTACGAACGACAGTAATTGACAATAAATATTAACAGAATTTTGGAAAGAATCTTTTTAAAATCTTTAATTATAAAATATAGACTTTTTTTTTTTTGTATCTATAAAAGCTTTGCGCTAGTCGCTTATATACACAAAAAAAAAATTTTTTTTTTTTTTGAAGGATATTGGTATATATTTGTATTTTTATATATGTTCTTTTTTGAAATAAATTAATTTGATGTATTTATATAATAATCCATATTAGTTTTGAAGTTTTGTTGTTTAACAATTAATTTATTACGATACATTTTCTTATCAAAAAAAATTCAATAGATTTATAGTTCGATGTGGGTGTGTAGTATCTTGACATTATCAAGGTTTTATTGTATGCTTAGTTTGTTTTTTTTTTTTTTTTTTAAAAAAAAAAAATCAAGTAACATGTCTTTATCAAATAAATTTTGTTTGAAAAAGCTCAAAATTTGAAATCTTGTGGGTGGTTTTTTTATTTATTTTAGATTACTGTAGCAGCAGCAATACAAAAACCATAAATTGTTAAAAAATGTAGCATTCAGCATTCTTGAAATAAAATAGGATATACAAGTTTTATTAAGAATTGTTAAAAAAAAACATAAACAATGACCAACTAAAATTTGCCAAGTTTCGTAACACAATAATCTTAACAGTTATGCCGGTCTTAACGAACTGGAGCATGAAAATCATAAATAATAAAGGTTATACCAGGAGGAAACGTTGATGTTACACGATTGATTTTACACACGGTGTGAAACACATAAAAAACTTATTTTACAATACTTGAACAATCCGCTAGTAGATGCTATGATTATAATCCAACACCATTTTTATTATAATCATAACATCTACTAGCGGATTGTTCAAGCATTGTAAAATAATTTTTTTATGTGTTTCACACCGTGTGTAAAATCAATCGTGTAACATCAACGTTTCCACCTGTTGTCACGTCCCAGTGCCAAATCGCAGTGATCAACGAATAAAATTTTACTTACGGGTTTTTCTTGTGCGTAGTTTACGTTTAATTTTTGAAATACCTCAATAATTAAATTAAATTATGACACTTTTATAGAATTTTATTATGTGTCTTCTATAACAGAAATTTTGGTCAATGTATTTAAGAACATTCTGAAAAAAAGTATAAAAGCAAGCATTTCTATCTCTTTCTCGTAACATTATTTCGTTGCTTTAATATATTTATATTATTAAGTACGTTGTAATCGTAAAACGGTGAGTCAGTCGCTAATCGGTCAGATCTCTCGTGTAACCTTTAGGGTCGGCAAATTGGGTCGAAAGAGGTGTGTTAGATTTGTTGAGTGGCTGCCTGAAAATGGTTGGGTTTACTGGTGCAGGATGTTTCAGGTTTATTTGTTTAAATGTACTAGTGTACTTTTACAGAGTCTCAAGTTAGGGACGGGTTACGTAACAACAATTGTATTTAATAAAGTGATTCGTGTAGTATTATGTATAAAATGGTTTTATTATGAGTAATCATGTATTATATGTGTTATATATTGGTTGTCAAGAGGAAGTTATCTTTCCCAAAGGGCCTTTTCAGCCTTTATTTATAATTAAAATCTTCTATGTACATTATGTGATGGATATGACTGATATCACTGATACTATTAATTAGTCATATTCTACTGATATTTCTCTTTTACTAATTGCTGCTATCTGTCACATTCGATGTATGCATCACATGCAACTGATTGATCACATGCGATGAATGCAACAGATGTGACAGATGTGATCGGCTTCTTCCTTAATTAAGTAATATCCCACCCTGAACAGTCAGGGTTCATTCAGGTCTCACAACGTATTAAATCTAATTAAAGCTGTTTTATTTATATAACTGTCAATTTTATTCAACAATATCAATATCATAATAATAATTGAAAATCTGAACATCATTCTCCAATTAAATATCAGTTAAACTTACTACAAAGGAAGAAATGTGAGTTAAAATTAGCACAAAAAAAGGTTGTCAATACAGTACACAAAATCATAACATAATATGTTCTGATTTTTTCAATGATCTTTTTATTAAACAGAATTTAGAACCTCTAGCCAGAGGTATAACAATTATTATATATCTGATATGATTAATTATTATAAATTTATGCAGATATTAAAATTAATATTTAAGGGTAGAAGTAATATAGATCATTTTTATATAGAAATGTATGATATTTTGAAATTTTCATTTAAAATTGATATATGTTATTAATAAAACTTTTTTATTTTTTAATTAATCAATAAAAAAATTTTATAATATTATAAATAAAATTCTTTATTTATTATAGTAAAATTTTAAAGTATTGTATTATTTTAAAAAAATATACTTGTATATATTATAAAGTTTTTAGAAGTTTTCCAAAATTTGTCAGAATTACACAAAATTATTAGATTTGATTAGTTAATTTACATAATCCTATAAGTTAATATAATTAATAAATTTTTATATTTAATCTTTAAAAAGTTATATCTTACTAAGTTTTTACTCAATATTAATAATTTTACTATCATTAAAATTAGAAAAACCTATTTTACAAACTTTTTTATAAATTAAAATTAGTTTACTTAATATAATTTTTTATAAATTTAAATATGAAAAAAATTTACTATTAGATTTATATATAATTTTAAAATACTATCCTTTACTCTTAATTTAATTTGATTTAAATAAATATTTAAGTTTAATTAATGATCTATCAATCATTTGAATAAAGATCATAATGTAATGTGATGCAGATCATTATATAATTTACTATAGAGTAAAATGCAGCATGCATCTATCTAAAACTTTTTTGATACTATAATAAAATTTACTAAAAACTAGTAAGTTGTAGTATTTTAAATATACAAATGCTGAGTAGAAGATCTTTTATTTAAAGAAAAATAAAATAAATAAAAATAACTAAAAATAAGAAATAAATATTTAAAAGTGGAATTTAAATTCAATAGCCTCTTAGGTACTATAAGGTACAATAATAGAACTAGTTTTTAAACTAATTTTACTGTTCAGTCTGTTCAGATCAGATGTAACAAAATGTTTACTCTATACAAGGATTATTAAACTTTAAAACTTAGAAATGTTTATAGAATATAACCAAAAGAAGAAAAGCCTTAATAATTAGACCATTTATAGCTATATATGGTCTTTAAATTTTTTTTTTCCTTTTATAAGCAGTTATACTAGTACTTTATTGAGTTTTTGAAATTACATTTGTAACTATATACATATCTCTAATATCTAAGTCTAGTATTACCTGGCTACCTTAATGGTACCTAAGTGTGACCTGTCATATTACTTTGAGCAGAAGTAAGCTACTTGTCTAATTACTTAAAGTTCATAATGAAAGGACCTTCTCCCTTCCATAACAAGCTCCAAAATTGTCTTTGTTACTTCTTTCTCAACTTGCTTTTTTTTTCTTTTCTTTCTTCTTTCTTCTTTTCTATTTTTTCTTGATTTGTCTTTTTCTGCTTTTCTGGTTTCTTTAAAATTTCACTTTTCTTTCTTTTACTTTTTTCTGTTATTCCAACTTTTTTCTTCTATTCAACAATTTTTTCACAACATATTCTTTATACTTGTTTATAGAATATGTTCTAGGCCATTATTGCTACTATATTTGCAAACTGCTGTCTTGATTTTGTGTTTAATAACTCTGCTAGTTTGTCTTGTGTTTTTTTTGGAATTAGGCCCTTTATTAGTACTTCTCTTGTTTTAACTTCTTCTGTCACTGTTTTCCTAAAGAATGCTATATATAATATATGTGAGAGAATTCAAATCTTTTCTTTTTTTTTTAATTTCTTTCATGCTGTTGCAATGATCACTTTTTGGATTCTCTTCCAAAGATTTCTTTACCTCTTGCATACTGCCAGGTGTGCTTGCATCTCTTTTACTTTATCTTGGCATACTTGGCATTCTATCATTGTATATATCTGGCCTTCTTCTATTAAGCTCTTCTAAGGTTAGATGTTTATCTATTATGCAATTGATGAATGCACTTCTTCTGGCACTGCTTCTTCTGTTATGTAATGTATTCCTTTGGTCATTTTTAGCTTTTTCCAAAAATAAGTCCAATTGTAAATTGTGATTTCTGCTTCTGGTTCTAAATCTTTAACTGCTCTCAGTTCTTTTTATTCTGCACCTAGTCTTGCATTTATTATTAGCTTGCAAAGCAGTCTTGCTAATATGTCAGTTTGTCTGTTTTCCCACTCTAGGCAGTACTTTATCTCTTTACAGCTGATTTTTTCACCCTGTACTATTTCCTTACTCATTGTCCCTTTCTTTGCTAAACTATCTGCTTTGTCATTTCACTTGTCTTTACTATGACTTTTCACTTTAATTAAATCTATCTAAATGTTTTTCATTATGACAAGGTCTTTGAACTTCATTAACTATATTGCATTCTTTTTCTTAATAATCTTACTTCTGTCAGCTTGTTCTAGACTTCTACTGATGTTTCTGATTGCAGCATTACTATTTGTATATAACTTTATTTGCTTCTCCTTAGGTATTGTTAAAATCACTGTCCAAATTGCTACCAACTTTGTTGTTATTGATGTTTGCTATCCTTCTAGTCCAAATGCTACCTCTTCTTCTGACCATTCTTGTGTTTCATTTGTTTGGACATATCTGATACCTATATTGTTCTTAGATAATGGTTCTTTACTATTCTTCACATTGGCTATACTATCAGTATATATTATATATTTATTCTTGTTTCTTGTAATGGTTCTTCTTAGGACTTTTGTTATTTCTTGACTAATATTCTCTTCTAGTTTTTGTTACTTAATAATTTCTACCTCTAGTTCTTCTATTATTGCAAAGCCTTTTAATTTGTATTTGCTTATTTTTTATCTATCTTTTTCTGCTTTGTCTATTATTTGGTCTATTGCTATCTT